AGTTATCGTTGGGTAAACACCCGCCATATCAACTTCGAGTTACATGCCTCGCTCACCATCCCAAATGACTAACATCCTTCCACAACACTCATTCTATTCTGCCTATTAATTTTCCACTCTCCGGGAACTGATTGATCGAGTTTCATGACGCTAGCGTGGAGCAACACCTCGCAGCCCCAGTGCCTTATGATATGCATCTCTTAGCACCTGCCCAACTAGCACCTATAGATACACAAGTGTTTGCTGCATGGTTGTGTTATTTGGAGCATTCATTGTCCGCGATGTACTTGGTTACAGTATAATTATTTATAATCTCACGTGTAGCCTTACCTAAAAAAAAAACTGCGCACAATTCTAGAATCCTCCCTTGAAGGATTACCTGAATCTTTCCCTCAAGAATGACTAACAATTAGAAATTATCTGGTGAAAGTTTACCCTTGACAAGTCACATGAGGCCACATTTTTCCTCCTCCTGCATCTTGCTGCGGATAACTGGTGAACAACATTGTACCTTCTTTTCCCTCAGTGCACAACGATAGGCCCAGCTTGTTATACCAGGACATTCAAATGTTAGAAAACCGGCACAAGTTGAGGCTGGTTGCAAACTCCGCCCACTTTGGTGTAAGCTACGCCCAGCCTTGACATTTAGCTTCTCCTCTTCTCCTAACCTGTATCCACTGTTTTCAGGTTTCCAAGTCATCTCAGAGCCGATTTATGAGCTCTTGTAGAAAACGTCGTCTACTTCAGGACACGCTCCGCCCATTGTGGGCGGACCTCCGTTCACATCATGTGTGTGCTGGAAATACCTTAGACATCGCTGCCCTGCACTAATTTCTTTTCTGCTCTGTAGGCTTCCTCCTAACCTAGTTATTGATATTTTTATTGAGCACCGCTTTTCCAGAGAACGCCCCGCCCACCGAGGGTGGGTCTCCCCAATGCAATCTGGCTTACCGACGCACATTTATAACCACTTTTTGTTCCAGTCTCGAGGCTGTTTTTGACTGTATTTGGAATCAACCGATGCACGCCACGCCCACTGTGGGCGGGGCTCCGCTTGGCTGATGTGTGTTTTTATACTTCTACTAATGATAAATTTGGTAACTATCCCTCGCGCGAAACTTGGAGCCCTGGACCCTAGTAGTTCGTTCGCTTGATACCGAATTTCGATGACGCAAGAACGAGAGCAGAGCAGATACGCGTATTACATATAGTAGGGAGAGATCTATAGCAACTCATATACAGCAATGTAATTTGTTCAAGTCCTCTAAAACCTCAGACGTCTGTTCGAAGAATACCTTTGTCCCTGCTTGTTAATTATCCACACCTGTCTCTTACTGACCAGAGAGCGAGCAGGAAAATGTAGCATCTATACTGTATCACTCGCAACTTCACCAAGGACAGTGGAATGCGATAACATCCGAAAGCCTTCCCTTTAAAAATTTAATGTCTTTTGATGTTAACCTGATCTTAGCTTTATGCAAGAGACAAGCATTGCAGGGTAACTGAGAGGAGCATGCCTATCGCCTGTCATTCTTAAACTACGTTAGTATCGAAAAGCCAAATTTCAAGTGGCTACAACTTCAGTTCCTCAATATCTCAAACTCCCTTTCAATATATTCCTCTAGGTTTTATGTATTTATATACCTTGTAATGTATGTTTCATGTTGTAATTAGAAAGGAAAGTTTATCAGTATTACCAGCACGCATGAGTTTGAAGGCCGAGAGGTGGGGAATCGTCGTGCTGAGCTATAACAACGCATTTCAGCTGCGTGAGAAGTGCCGCTCCTTCAAAGCTGCTGCTGAGCGCTGAGCGTCTCACCACTGGATGCATCAGTTTTGTGACTTACCAGGAAAGGCATTCAACTTCCCATGGAACTTTGAGATGAGACCCAGATATATCGATAGAGCTTCAAACGCTGATTACAAATATGGAAACTAAAACTGCAAAATGAACCTGCCAAGGAAGTTGTGAGCAGTCAAAGTTGGCTGGAAGTAAAGCATTACACTAGCCTCCGGGCTTTCAGAGTCGCCGCGGAGCAGTGGTGGTGCCCTCGCTATTCACCCTGGAGGTCATAAGCTCTCCTCCCGTCGGAGCGCAAATTCCGAGAGCACTACCACTACTCCACGGCGACTTTGAAAGCCCGGAGGCTAGTGTAATGCTTTACTTCCAGCCAACTTTGACTGCTCACAACTTCCTTGGCAGGTTCATTTTGCAGTTTTAGTTTCCATATTTGTAATCAGCGTTTGAAGCTCTATCGATATATCTGGGTCTCATCTCAAAGTTCCATGGGAAGTTGAATGCCTTTCCTGGTTAGGGACTGCCCAGTTGTTCAATCACTCAAACCTGGTGCGTGATGTGCGGTAACGCGCGGAGCTATTTTTGGGTCCGTGAGTCCTGGCCAGTAATTAATAGCTTGTATTTTGATCTTTTCACGCAGTGATATGAAGCTGAACTGTGTACCGTGTGTAATTATATAACAAGCTGCCTACTTCATGAAAGAATGCACCCATACCGCAGCAAGTGGAAGGAAGATTCCTCATGTGACCTCTGTACAAGGGTAATTTCACCAATATTTTTAATTGTTAGGTCATTCTTTGAGGGAAAGATTCAGGTAATCCTTCAAGGGAGGATTCTAGAATTGTGCGCAGTTTTTTTTTAGGTAAGGCTACACGTGAGATTATAAATAATTATACTGTAACCAAGTACATCGCGGACAATGAATGCTCCAAATAACACAACCATGCAGCAAACACTTGTTGACTAAATATGCACATGGTCACGGGACCTCCAGTTGCAGAAGTTGTAAATATGTGAATGAAAACAAATATGCATGTGAGTGATGGATGCCACTGATCTATTATTAAACTGGTTTTCTCGGTGTTTAGGCTTGTCATGTTGTTAGGGAGCCGATTGTTTTGTGACCTTTCTTTTCGTCTGGCTGTGGGTCCGAAGTGGAATAGACAATCAAAATGGAGTGGAAATAAAATAAATGAACAGAAGTGGACCGCCAGCAAAGCAACGAAGCAAAACTGTCCTGCAGCTTCAACATTTGTCCTTTGCAGCTATTCACCAAAGGCAATTGGTCCGGTCACATACATCCTCAAAACGCATGCTGCAGCTGCTTCCAAGAAATCCCCCAGGGGAAATCGGAATTCTATTTCACCCATAACATTGGCTTCAGACCCCTCGTTTACGATAACAACGTAAACAACAAAAAATGGGTTTGCTTCAGTACTCGGAAAAACGGAAATACTTTTACGCGTTCAATTTTTCGCAGTACAGTCATGGTTACACTTGTTTCGAGTACTGTTGCTAGGAACCCTTTTTGACCTTTGACTGGCCATGGCCGCCACAAAGCGGGATTTCTTTCAATTGTCTGCCTCCGAGCTTTCATAGATTGTGGTTTCTATAAGTTTGGTCTCCTTCGGAAACTGAATCTTCCTGCATAATCTTATATATTGTCTCTAGTGATAAAACTGACATATCCATGTTGGGAAAGAATGCAAGACTTTTCCGAAAAGGATTCCTCCAAGAGCGGACCCTAAATCATGTTCCTCCCCTCCCTTTTCAGCATTTTCAGGGAAAGTCTGGGAATATATCATGTCCCATGCGTAATCCTCATCAGTACACAGATAGCTGTTTCTGAAGGCGCTCCTCATGACGAGCGACCTCTCTTGCTAGCACTTGAAGCCACCTCATGAAGAGATGGCGTGGACCTCAGATAGTAGCAATCATGAAAGAGGTATAGCGCAAATAAAAAATGCCTGTTACTAAGCCGGATTCACTTATCGCAGTAGAGGGCGCATGCTACAGGCAGGTAATACAAAAAGTTATTGTGTCGAAAGCAGTAGTTATGAGCGAGTGTCGCATGAGGTTACAGGTAGGTGCTCTCGAAATCGAGAAGAGCGTCGGGTGCAGACCATACACCACAAGCGACGGCCTCCACAAAATGTAAATGTTTTCTGCCAATGAAATGATTAGCCTGTTGCAGTTGTATTCTATCAGTCACTAATTACAACTATCATTTACCAAAAATCAGCTATCACTATGAACCACTACTAACCAGATTTACTTGGAGGCCGTCGTCACTTGTGGTGTATGGTCTGCACCCGACGCTCTTCTCGTTTTTTTTTGAAAGAAAGAGTACTTTGCGGTGAATGATATTCCTCGAATTGACGCTGAACCTTTATTCATCCAACAGTCAGGTTACCTTGATCTCGATAACGCGAATAATTCAGTATGTCTGGTCGTTCGTTTCTGGAACCCATTTCATGAAAATAAAAGTGTGAATGGATTCCTCGGCACTATTTTTAAAAATCCTCACCATTGCTTCTGAGACG